AAAAATGGTTAAAAAAAATATCTCTCAGGTCTTTTATATGAATTTGTGGAATTTGGTAGTTTACTCAGTTGGAGGATAGTGGACATTTATTTAGAATCAGAATTTTTTTTAATACTAATATTCACCCAAGGCCCAAGAGTCACTTAAGGTAGAGATTTACTGTGTGATGTTGTATGAGCATAAGGCAAGAAGTGAAGTTCATGGGGTCATGTGGGAAAGATAACAGTTAACCCTAGACTTGAAGATGTTAAGATTGTAGCAATTGGGAAAACATCCTGCTGGGTGTCTGTTCCACAAAGCAGCAGTTCTTGAGAAGCAGCTGTCTGAATGGAAGTTATTTCTTACTATAGGAATACAAAGGGAATGGCAATGATTCACCCTTCATGTACCTGACGTGGCAAGACTAAGGAACAGGTAGCCCCCTCAGAACACATGCCATTGAAGTAGTGATAAAGCATCAATATGCTCTCAATGTTTTGTCTGTGGAGAAAGGAGTTGTAGGGTGGAAATTAATTCATCACTCACAAAGCTGTATAGATGCTTTTGAACTCAATCATACTTTGTGGGGGTCAGATACCCTCACCAATTTATATTGACACAAAATATGAAACAGCAAGAAGAAACAAAGGAAATTCAACAAAAGAAGTTGTCCAAGTAAATAGAATTTATATATAACAAAATGTACAAAACAGGAATTCTGAATGTGTTTAAAATGCTGAAATTTACTTGTCCTTTTGGATTTTTGAGTGAGAAAATGTTCTTGCTGATGAACTGCAAGTTATAGTGTAAAGTGTATGAGTTTGGAAAATTTCAGTTAAATGTATTGTTATTTGTATGTAAAATAAACAGTTTAAAAGTTTGAAAAAAAAGTGTGTGTGGATTTGATTCACTTTGTGACATTTTGAGTGTCTGTCTTTGTTGTTTGCGTTGAATGAAGAAATATAGACTGTGGTTATGTTAAAATATTTTAACATATAGTCTGGACTTCAGTGATGAGTATAGTCATGCAGTATAGATACACTGCATGACTATACTCATCACGCTTTTTCGCCAAAATTTTCTCCAACTGCCTGTTCCTTAGTTGTTTTTTTTTTTATAAGCAATGTAAGCCACATGATAGGCTCGAGAACATGTTTAAATTTTTTAGCGTGCTGTATCTTGAACAGGTCAGATCAAGGTCAGATGTGCAGATGTAGACATGCCATTGGTATTTCTGAACCAATCAAATTACATTAGTTGTAATATTTGATTTGGAGCCTATGCTTGTTCAGTTTTAAGAATTTTAAGAACGATATAAGATCTGGATCCTATAACTTCAATATGCAATTTGTTTGTGAATTTCCTTTGTTTTTTTAATGCTCCTTGTTCTGAACTCTGAGCTTAGCAGACAGAAATATATTTTACATTTAATACAATATAGTGCTTTCCAAGATTTTGTTAACAACATCAAGTACCATATATATTCATGTTTAAGTTGACTTCATGTATAGTGCAACCTCTGAACTTTTTTTGCATGACTTTTAAACTCTCCAGAAAAAATTTACCTTGTATAGTGTGACCCCCTATTTTTTTTTTTTTTTTTTTTTTTTGCTTAAAAAAACTGATCATAGAAAATTGCACTATACTCAATATGGTATACAATGAAAGGGTTTAATTTTGCATGCTAATGACTTATAGTTATAAACAATATAAAGTAACTAAAATCCCGTGTCCCTTCAAAACATAGGCAATCATGGCTCTCCACAGTTTCTTTTTCTTTTTTATACATGAATTGCAGTGTGTTCTTGGTTTCCCCTTCTTTGTATTTTGGAAGTTGCTGATACAGTTACATCAGTAGTTACATATGTATGTCATATTTGAGATCATATCAGTTGCATTTTAATGAAGGTTTGCTAATGGTAAATAAAGCCAATATGGTAGATATATTCTGCCAAAAGTTTTTTTTTTTTTTTGTAATTTTTTTTAATCATTTTATCCCAAACAAGACAATAAGGCCACTAAAATGCAAGGGGTTACTGAATGGGAAAGAAT